ATCATTGTACATTTGCTGTTATGTTAAACTTATATCAAAGTTTTTCTTCATTACCCATTCAAGTTGTCTCCAAGCATTATTATTCTAACGTTTGATATTTCATCTAAACATAAAAGATAAGAGCCTCAAAGTGAATCTTTCCCTGACCAAAGCAAAACTGTAATTATATAAATTTTGTTCAAAATTGAAAACAAAATCCATGTATTCTAGCCTTCTTTTGATTGTTTTCCAAAATAGTCTGAGTAATCAAATCTAACTATATTTTTCCACCAAACATAACCTATAGTAACATACCTATATATTATTTGTTTGTTTCAGAAATTGCACACTAATCTACACACCAACTATCTGCATATAGCCATCCCTAATTTTGAACTGATAGACTAGAGGGAAGGTAGCTAGCCCACAGAATCAATAACTCGTGGGCTAATCTTATGTGATTGAATAGTAGAATTTGACAGTTACTTTTATAACACATCTATAATCTCAAATTGTGGAGTGGAGCATAATTTAGCAGTAATGGTGTTCACAATCAGGCCACACAAACCACTAGGGCCACACCTAGGGTCTTACATTTCTAACAAACAGAATCCAGCGTAATCTAACCTTTCTTCCAAACGGAATCTGCAGTATTGAGAGAAAGACGGCGATACCCATCAATCAAATCAGCAATATTTTCTGATACTGACTTCGTAGGGCATGTTATGGAAAGAATCTGAAAATACCAAACAAGAAAATTTTATGTATATGTTCAAGTATAATGAATAAATCAGACAAAAACAAAAGAACAACTGAAGTTTTATCTCTGGGTCTTTCAATTACTTTCTCCTCCACACAAAGAAAAGAGCATACTTAAATATAAGACAACCAATTGTAGTTTATCATTACATAATAAATAGAAATTATCATGGTTCTAGACATACTTAATGAATAAGTATGTTTAAATAACATCTCAATGAAATTCATGTGAAACCTCTTTAAAAAACTAAGTACAGTAAAAAATTGGTATTATAACCAGAAAACAGCTATAATAGAGATATTTTGAGCAAATTTCTCTTCTTCTGAAAGAAGAACATTTCATGTTTTAGTAAGAGTAAAATTTTGAAGAGTCTCGTAATGTTTAAGGTAATGGTATCCATCCAATGAGTGGTCTAAGTATGATAAGTTTAATCTAGGCTGGTTTAGAATCCACAACAACAAATATGATATACGTAATATATATTTTAATAGAGGTATGTCAAACTTATATATCTTGAAATGCTTGGCTGATGTTAAATTTGGAATTCAATCTTGTCAGAATCCTTTAATATTTATTGTATTATATACTTATATTATATTATATTTGTATTATATATTTATTATATACTTTAGATTTATTATTAATCAAAGTCAAGTTTCCAGATTTTCTGATATTTGGAACAAATTCTCAATGACCTTATCATTTTGACCGATCAAAGTTCAACTGTATTTGTATACATGTATCAATATATATATATATTTATATAAAATAATATAAAAGGAACATTAAAATATGGGGGCCTAAGAGCAACAGACCTTTAGAACATATAGAGAAGACAGTAATCTCTGTAAAAGCAAATTTAAACGAGAATAAAACAGGTAAGTTCAAAGAGATTTATTTCATTCTAGGAACCACTGCTGTCATTTCAGTCATTAAAAGATATTATATTAATGATGTGCCAAAGTCAATCCTTTTGGGCCATTCTTTACATCTTACATCTGCTTGGCCAGCAATCTTTAAACGAAGAACATGTTTGGTGCTGCTGTCAGGAACACTTGGAATGCTCTGTATACTCTGGACATGGCAGAAATTGGCTATATGGCTAGGCTAGACATAAAAAAAAATAGTATAATCTTTCAGCTATTACAGTGTGTTGCACAGGTTAATTACATATTTACACATTTAATAAACCATTTAACACATCCATTTTTTCATTTTGCATTTTCTAATTCCACAATTGTTTCTAATGTAAATTTAGAATGAACTTTGACCTTAGTAATACCTGTAGGTATCATATCCACATATTAATTATATAAAAAGTCAGTTTCAATGCAAAAATTGGAACTCGGCATTTAAAGCCATACATGCAGAGCAATAAGCAATTATGACATATGTAACCAACTGCATACACAAGTTTATAACATAAACTGAGACAGGAATAATTATCTAGCTAACAACTCTCTAATTATTTAACATAAAAAGTAATAAAAAGCATTTTCAAATTCAAAATGATATAGGGATGGTAGTGCCAGAAAAAATGCAAAAAAAAGATTATAGAGATGATTAAAATTTAATGTTACACTGTAAAATGTACAAGTACAAAATGGTTACAAGGTTGGTCAGTTTGACCAACCTCGTAACAAGAGTCTGTAATAATCAAGACATGTTTTGACTCAACTTGGTTTTTCTTGTATGCAAGTCTTACGCTCTTAGTTACACTACATTGATACCTACCCTGACACAACCATGATACTATGGTAAACAAACTGCATATCAACAGTCAGGAATATATAGCTTCCAACTGCAGTAATATTACAGTCAAGTATGCATTTAACATTAAATTTTAATACTAAAAGTCATGTAGGCTGATCATCTCTATATTCTTGTTTGCATTCTTATTGGCACTGCCATCCGTACAACATTTTATATTCATAAAATATTTTTACTACTTGTTTTGTGACGTTTTTCTCCCTTGACTGAAAGTTAGTGTATTCTATGAATGTATGTAATAAGATTTAATATTATGTGTATTGTTTTTTCTTTTTACTTCTTCACTTCATACATAATAAAGAGGTTGGCTCCCTAAAGACATCAGTTGTATAGTGTACAAAGCATTAAGTATTCTACATGCTACAGTCATTTAATGTTCGTCTATTATTGGCTGGTAATTCCTGTTTTACCCTGCACATAAATTTTTTAAAGGAACACCAGATTTCTGTAAAAAAGCTAACTTCAAGGAGTAATGATTAAGAATTTTTTTATTAGAACCAGTTATTACAACTAAGTGATGACATCTTTCACTGCCTAGAAACACATAGAGTAGATTTAGGTTTAAACTGACATTAGTGACAAAGTAATGTAGAGTTATCTCAACTGAAACAAAAAGAAGAAAGATGAACAATTTGGTGGGTTGGTCATTTTCTAGTTTGGTATCTTATCAGTGGTTTTTGCCTTGTTTGGTAGAGAAATAAATGGAAGTGAGTGGCAATCATCTTTTGAAGTAAAACTCTGTCACTATTGATTTTTAGCGTGTATATTTGTATTATACTGATTGAGTACCTTAGCCATCCCTACATATAGAGTTTACCAACTCTATAATACTGTATTTGAAAAATACATTTTTCATTATATCTTACAGTTTCAATGCTACTGAAACATTTTCATTAAGAACTTCATAATAGTGACAAAGTTATACAAAAAGTCATCACACACTTTAAATGTTAACAAAGCACCAGTATTAAAAGTATGGTAAGTTATAAAAATGATTAAATCTGTTAGATTATACAAATGTTACACATTCTTTGTAAAATACATACCTGACAGGTTTTATCTGTAACATAACTAATGCCTAGTTGAGAACTTATCACCAATTGCACAGGGATATTCCAGCTCTACTAAAAAACAGGAGCAACTTTAAGTATCTGTTCAAACCCTATCACATAAAATATATCTAAATGGAATTTATATGATTATATAATATTTGACAATAAAATTAAAAGTCCACCAGCCCTTAATTTTAAAGTGCTTAAAACCAACAAAAGCTATTCTTATATAAAACAGTCAATACATACACAAAAAAACATTTACAACACAACCTTCAGACAAAGACAGAAGACAAACTGAAAAATAACCACTGAAAATTTTACATACAAACTAATCCTTCTTTAGATTGGAAGTATTAATCCAAAAAGAGTTTTAAAAAGAAATTAGAATGACTTATAGTTAATATATATATATATATGTGTGTGTGTGTGGTTGCCTTTGGATGTTGTGGAGGCAGTAAATTTAAGTTAGGTTAATAGAAAGCTTGATTACTGCATGAATGACAAGGGCTAGCTTTGAGTTTTTTTTCTATTATTATTATTATCTTTTATTTAATAGTTTTAGTTTAGAGGATGGGGCAACCTAGCTAGACCAATAGTTCCCTTGTTGTTCCTAAACATTATATTAAGTTATTTAGTACGAAATACTGTTTCTAATGTATGTGTTATGTTTTAAGTTGTCCTTTACTCACCACAGTAAAAGCTATATTTTATAGGTATTTGAAGAATATTTAGCATTAATACTATTAATTCATTTTTCTAAATTATTCATTGTATAAGTTGTTTAAGATAAGGAAATGTTTTCCTTCATCAGTTAAAGTATAAATTCAAGCCAGAAAAAAGTGTGAAGTCCTTGTCACCAAGTTAGAATAGTTTCAGGGTATCTCACTACTCATCACTAATAGTGGAATAGGCCAATTTAAAAACAAAAACAAGACCAATTAAGGGGAAAAGAGTCAGTTGAGTGATTTGATATATTAGGTGTTTTGTAACAGTTTTGAAATGAAGAAAGTATTATGTGTTTGAGAAAATTGTTTATTAAATTAAGATCTCTGTCAGGACCTTAAAAGGGCCATTAGCTGTAATGAGTATTGTTTTATGGAAGAGCCAGTTAAATCTTGGCTTTGTTCTTTTTCTGCTACATAGAAAACAGGCCTTAAGAAAGTAGATACATCTTACTATTAGAGCTTAGTCTTGAAGGTCAAGTAAGTTGTGAACTCGTTATTTGATTGTGAGAAAAATATGAAAACATCATTTCTCTTAACTAAGATTTTCTTTTTTTTTTCTGTAAATATACTACTACTAGATAAATAAAAGATTAGACACCACATAAATACAAATGTTTTTAAGAAGCCTTTTTGTTAGCATATTTAAATAAATGTACATGGGTCGGTACATCAAACTGACTCTGTATTTGAGATGTAATATTGACTATAATTCTGAATTTATGAAGTGTATCTTAATGACATATGGCAAGCTTTTAGTCAACATTACAAGTCTGTTGTACACAAAAAAATCAGATGTTTTACTAAAATTTTTGCACTAAAGATATGTCTATGAAATGCCGACTCAGACAAGTCAGAGTGCAATGCAAGGTGATGTTCATGTGGAGAAGAAAAATATTTTTGTCCATTGTACAGTTTGGAAGTTGTATTTGCATAACCTACACAATCTTCTAAATTCATATTTAATGTTCTTTTTTCAGTATCATTGTATACTGTACTGTATCTGATATTTTTTCTAACATGAACTGTTGTGAAATCAGTGGTGTAGAGTAACACAAAATCGTGATAACTCTGACATCAAATGTGTGATACTATGATGAATGACACCTTGCACAAGATTGCAGCATGCACACTTTAACCTATACCTGTGCACATAGGGTTAAACAGTTTATTGAGTTGTTGGTATATGAAGGAATGTCACAGTCACAGTAGCCTACATGTACGATAACAATTACTTAATATTTCAATTACTAATCAAAACAAAATCATAGTATTTTGCCATATTTCAATCAATGAAATTATACTTTGATAAGTATTCTTAGATTACTCTAAAGTTGAAGTAAAAAACAAGAATAAATCTTTTCTTTTATTGTTATAATGACTTTTTTTCTGAGTCTTCATTACATAGATACTGTAAATCATAAAACAATTACTTAATATTCTATTTCTTTAATTATTTAATATTTCTTCCACACTTAAAAGTCTGAATATAACAAATCTCAATCGTAAATGTCTAATTTAATAATATGGCGTGTTCCATAATTCTTACCAAGTAACAGATCAAAGCAACCTAATACATAAATATATAAATACACTCAGAAGAACACAAAGTACCATCTACTTACCCCAAGTGCACAGGGAACAGTTTCTCTGTCATACTTAAATACCTGAGAAACTAATTCCAGAAACTTAACCATGCAGTCTACTTCTGTAAGGGATGAGAACTTCTTGAAAGTACTTTGAATCATCTTTCGTAAAGTCTTTGGCTATATAAAAGAAACATAATACAGATATATCTACATGTAAAACCCCATATAATTTAAGAATTTTATGTGCAATAAAATAAGGTAGGTTTGAGCTATACACGCACTCACACAAATAAAATGCTGACACGCTAAACCAAGTAGTTAGATTACTAATATTTAAATTTAAATGTTCTGAACAACAGTTACTAGTAGATCAGTGGTTGAAACTTCAAAAACTTCTGGAGTTTCAATCTATGTGTGGGTACCTTTTATACTTGAACAAAACAACAATTCTCTAATTAAATGGCTATTTAAATTTTAGGGAAAACAATGGTATTAAATCTCAGGTTTTCAAATTATTAGTTCAGGTTATTACTGAATCATTTTGAAACAAAAGTCATCACTAAATCATACACAAGTTTTCATTGCTGTTCTATTTCTTGAAAGATAATTAATCAAAAGTAAACACTATGGAACAAAACAAAATAATGTAAGATACAACTTGTTCTGAAAGAACTGTCACTGTAAGCAGCAACCTTTGGTTAATAAAGTATACATACAGGCTAACTTCAGATAACATATTAATGCATGTTTTCATTCATGTTTAGGTTAAATGTGTCCTTTGCCCCCCCCCCCCCCAAAAAACCGAAAAGTTAAAAATAAAATTTTTTTTTTTTT